TGCTCAGTGCCTGTGTGCTGTAATGAGGGAAAAAGCTCGAAGTTGGGTAGATCTGGCTGGAACAGTCTTTCACATCTTTCTGTCTCTGGGGGCAGGAACAAAAGAAGCTTGTTACAAAGAACTGAATGTTGGAAGAGTGCCTGTGACATTTAGCTAGCCACTGGTCAGTAAATGGAAAAAAACACAAGAATCATGCTGTTAGGTATTTAAAGGATCTCTCCTTTAGCCCCAAATCTATGGCAGAGCTGCAGTGTAACTATGCAGACGAGGATGTAGAATACAATAACATTATAAGAAAACAGCAGCATTGTTTGAAGGGTAAGGAGGGCAGATGACTCAGATCAGCTCATATAATAGTCAATCTGAAGTCTGGAAGTAGCTAGTTAACAAAATAGAGTATAAATATACTTTTCACACATACTTTATTGGATGATATGTCAGATTTTGTACTGTAACATCATTCTTAATTACTGCAGCTTGCTCCTAACCTGGTTTTCCTGCGCTCATATTCTGGACAGACGAGCTCCGCCCCTGCTCCAGATATTGTTTCCAGGTGCATGATCTGCTCTCATTCTGTGAAAACTGATCAATGACACTCCCAGTAGAGGGTGCCCTGCCCTCTATAAAGAGGTCAACAAGACCTTTCATTTTGCAGCATGTATGAGTCTGTGACAAACATTTCTGTACCAGAACGTCTTTTTTTTTTAAATCAACCTAATAATATCTGTTACACATCTGCATAATCTTCAGAATATCACTGGGGGGGGGTGATAAACGATAAGGTCCAACCTCTGCGGCACCAAGTCTTGACCTATGACATTTAAATTCACGTCATTTTGAGGTTTTAAAATGTTCCTACCCTAGTAGGAAATTACCCAGCTCAGCTTTATAACACGTTGTTTACCTGATTTACTGCTTTATGCCTGTCATTCATAATGTGCCTTGCGGTATGGAGGTATGGGATTATGTTCTTCAGGTTTGTGGCTGTCATATGGCCTCAATGACAAATTTCTCATTGTCTTAATTACAGAATCCAAACCATGAATGAACACTAGCACTTATAGTTTAAAGTTATGTTTATAAGGCTACATCACACCTACATAAGCCTGTCCTGACAACTCACAGGAACCTACATAAACATTTATGAAGGCTTATTGCAATAGACCTCATCTATCACTAAGGCTGCTTTTGTTAATTCTGACATTGGATTGTCAGGACACTTTTTTGGGGTAAAAAGACGTAGCACAACTATAACAACTGACTTTGTAGTTCACACTGCTGTCATGCCAATGATGTGATACAGCTTAAATCTTATAAATGATGAAATGAAACTCACTTTGTTGACAGAAAATGCACTTTTTTCTAGTCACATTATCAGCATCAAATCTGTCATTCACTTCAGAAAGCGTCATGACACAACCAAATATTGGAAAAAATCTATATCGACTTGATATTGATGTATATCAACTTGATATTAAAGCTGGCAAATGTAGCCTTTATGACAAATCTGTTGTCATTTGTCATTAAGGTGTGATGTAGCCTCATGAACACTGCCCTACACTGACCATACTGTACTGTATATGTGTTTCTGTCTCTGAATGCTGGAGGAATGTAGATCTCTCGTTGTCAGGCTGACGTCACTCTCCTCCCACAGAGCCACTGAAAACAAGCTTGTGCGCCTGGTCTGTGTGTGCTGGGTGTAGAAATGCTGTCATCTGCTGTTCACACAGTAGAATTTCTGTTACAGCAATTCCCACGAAAAGGGTCTTGCTAGCTAGATATGATGTGACCACCACATAGTGGTCGAGAGGCTTTTTATTACATGGAGGGCAGGGAAGGCAGTTTTTAGAAACCCTTAAAGACTATCCCAGCAAAACAGATACGCTTTTACAACGTTACAACCTATTGTTTTTGTGTCCACAACGTTGAAATGTAATTCATCAAAAAACCTGACGTCGTGACAACATCCTAAGAAGTTATGAGTAACAGCGTAGTGGTCTGCTGTCAGTAAGTTGTCACAACCTCCTAGATTCCTCATGAGTTCCAATGAACTCCACAGAATTGTGTTAAGTTGCCAAAAGGTACTAATTACTGGTGACGCTACTCAATAAAGAGGAGTTTGCTGGGTACGGATCCCAAACGGATCCTTACTCCCTACATAGTGCACTATGTGAGTTATGAAATTTGGACTACACAAAAAGTGTGCACTATCCTGTAGAGAATTGTGCACATGTGGCTGACTCTCAAATAGCTGTTTGTTAGACGTACTGTTCACTGTTTGGGAGGCAGAGTTGCACAAAAATTCAGATTTCTCTCATCTAATAAGAGTAATGTAGTACATGACACTCAACCCACTGTTTACTCCTGTACTCACAAGAGGCGAAAGTGCGGCTGCGGTTTCTAAATAGAGGCGCAGGAGCTGAAAGTGCGGATCTGAAAGCGTGGGGGCTAAAGATGCCGTACTCCGGCTCTGGAGATGGGCACTACCAGAGAACTCGTAGAAAGGAGAATTTCCACTCTGCAATGTCTTCCGGGTTTCTCCAACGCTAGAGGGCGCTCCCGAGCGAGTCCAAAATGAATGGGTTGATATGGAGCATTTGAGCAAAATCATAGTTTATAAAAGCTTAAACATTTTTAATGTAAAAGAATGGATTCATTTCCTGAACATTGAATATCATAAAACATTTTAACACCGCTGTTATATTTTTAAGAGCTTTTAAACTCGAGGTATTGGAGTTTAAAACGGCACCTCATGTACGTCCATGACGTCAGTGAGGGCGAACAGCCAATGAGATGCTCCGCTCGCCAATCAATCATCACGCTAGTGGTAAAGCCCGCCTCCTGCTGCCCAAAACTCGTTTGCTGTAGAAAAAAGGAGATATATAGATACGATTTCTTTGTTTTTTAGCGAAATACATCCTTCTACTTTCTAAAATTAAAGAAACGTTCTGGGCGAGTGATTAGAAACTATTTTAACTTTAGTTTTTAGCCGTTGAGCGCTATTTACTCCCATTCATTGAGGACTCACTCGCGGGCGCCCTCTGCTGTTTATCAGTCCTGTTTTTGATATAACGGGGGAGTAGGAGGTGGCCAGGCCCCTCATAAACCCGGTTCTGATACTACTGATTCCCACAGGAAGTCCTTTATCGTACACTCACTGGTCACTTTATTAGGTACACCTACCTTGTATCTACACCCTTTGTCCATTTTATCAGCTTCACTTACCATACAGATGCACTTTATAGTTGTATAACTGGACTGCAGTCTATCTGTTTCTCTGCATACTTTGTTAGCCTTCGTTTACCCAATTCAGGTCAAGACCCCCACAGAACCACCAATGAGCAGGTTGGTCCACCTTGTAGAGACAGCTCATGTGTTGCCTTGTGTTAGTCACCCTTCATCAGTGGTCAGTTTTTTGACCATAGGATGCTGTTGGCTGAATATTTTGATGAATGGGGTAAAGGTGGACCTACAGATAATGCAGAGAAAGAGATGGACTACAGTTTGTATTTGTAGAGCTAAATAATGCACCTAAATGGTATGTGGACCTTATAAAACAAACAATGAGTGTAGAAACAAGTCAGATGTGCCTAATAAAGTGGCCAATGAGAGTATGTGAACGATGTGGTTTGGTAAGCACAACCTACAGCTGCTTAAAAACCTGTGATAAATGCTGAATGAATGGTCATTTTGTACTTTACTATTCTTTAATTAAATATGAACCCCTTCAAAGACAGCAGGTCCAGGCTTTTATTCCTCACTCCAATAACTTAAGAATAACAAGCCAGTTTACATTGTTGTCCCTATAATTACCATGTTATGAGCTTTAGGATGTAATAAGCTGAAGAATTTAAGGGGTTAGTATTTTTTCACTTTCCAAAAGAAAAGACAAAACATCTGTTATTCATCTATTAAAAGAAAACACATCCATTTTTTTCCTCATTTTTTATTTTTCTCCATCATTTGAATACAGCAGTTGTTCTTTACATTGTATGGACCATTAGAAACGTTCCAAAATTATTTGGAATAAAATCTCTTTACATTAACTTCCATTAGAAGTTAAGAACATTTTGCTTTCCCATGTAAACATAATTTCGGAGATACTTTTTTTTGTACGACGACTATTTATTTATCTAAGGTCAGTGGTGCTATTTGTGTAAGTGCTTCAGAATCAGATGTAGAATGCTTCCAGCTATTTTGATGAACACAGAAAGCAACTCCCTCTGGCAAGGTTTTTTTTAGAACTCATAAAAAAAACATAAAAAGCCATGCCAAAATACACTGCTACAGTACATTTCCCTAATGAGCTCCCTATACAAGCTGATATGATGGAGATTTTTCTGAAACAACAGAAACCATCTGTTTTTATGACAGTGAGCCTTCCCTGACTCATCCTGAAACTAAAAGCCAACCGTCACTGCTGTTAACTTTCTCACGCTGTGCTGCTGTAGGAGCTTCACTGTGTGAGTACATGTGTGGGGGTCAAAAGGTAATGCAAGCAAGAGAGAGAGAGAAGAGCAGGCCCAAAAGGTTGGCCATATAAATGCCATTGCCTCTACACCTTCCCGTGGTACACTTCGGAAACCTCCTTTAACACATGTCCAATCTCCCCCTTGCCACTTGATGTCCCTTTCCTGAACCTGGCTGGCCCACAGTGCAGAGGAAGGTGAGCAGAGGAGAATGATAAGGACAGAAGAATTCCAGTAACCGGCCAAAAGAAATGGACTGCTTCCTCACCAGCCCTAAAGACCACCATGTGTTTGTATGTGGAGGTCAGGGGAGTAAGAGAAGCTGCTCTGAAGGCTGGAGAGCAGCTCAGCCTCATTGTTCAGAGCCCTGTGACCTTTCCAGAGGGAGCTGGCCAAGGGTGAGTGGGAGGCTCATTTCCGAGGATTGTTGGAGGACTTTGAAACGGTTACGAAGTGGAGAGGAGTGGAGGAGTCGCAGTGCATTTGGGGCGGGAAGAGGGGGTGGGGGGGTCGAGAGAATGAGAGAGAGAGAGCTTGACAGGGATGTTTTTGCAATGGGGGGCGGGGAGTTTCCAAAAAGCTACATGGAGCAACAGCTTTAAAACAACTAGTGCTTTTGCAGAGGTCTCAGACGTTTGGGCAGCCAGTGTAAGCTGTGGATGTTGTTTGTGTGTAGTGGACGAGGCAGACAGACATGATGAAGGTGAGGTTGCTATTGCTTGTGCAGGGCCTGCTGCTGGCAGCATGCTGTGATGGCAGGGCTAGGAACCCTGTACTGGAGGAGGAACTGAAGGACACGCAGGACTATGGGGGCTGGGATGATGGCGATAGAACCTCACATGAAGCTAGACATGGAACTGACCCACACGGGCAAAGCTTAGATGTCTCTGGAACTGTCTACTATCCCTCTGAGTATGCCAATGCTGGCACTAGCCATGGGCATGCCTCTTTGGGCATGTCTGAGGGGACAGCAGATGCTTCTGCAGAAATGGGCACCCATGGCACTCCAGCACGCACTGGGTAAGTCTTCATTTCCATCTGCTAAAGTGAGTTCCAGATACAGACGTGCTGCCTCTCCAGGCTCTGTGTTCTCTTCCAAGTATCTGTGATTCATCATCAATTCAACAATGTAAATATTTGATCTCACAATGACTCCATTCTAGTACAGTTCTTTCAGTGCATCATGAAATCTTACATTTCATCATGATTTGATTGGATAAGATTGTATTAATTTGGTAAACTTTACAAAAAAGATGTCATTTAACACAATTTGCATCACTTTTAAAGGGGAATTGTTGCTGAGATGTGAACAAAGTCATTAACAGTGGTTTGATGTGAAATGGTACATTGTAGAGAAATTTTCTCTAATGATGATGGAACCAGGGGTCCCAATGTCTATGTCATAAATATAGCCACTTTGTTTGCTATATCAGCCAGTGTTACTGCTTTTTGAGTCTGTTTAAATGGTAAAATAGTGGTAAATCTGGAAAATAGAGGTTCTCTTTGGGTACTACTTTTCTTTAAAATACGCTACATGAACAGATTACAGAATATGTTTTATGCCAAAAGCTTATTACAAAACATTTTGTAGAACCATGTCTAAGACATCAGGCAACATATTCGTTACCATTTCATGTAACAGCCTTCTGTGAAGTACCTTTAAGAGGCCTTATAGCTTCAGATGTCTGGTTCTTATCACCACCACTGTGAACAATTCTGAAAGTGTCTCTAGGATGGAGCATTTCACATCAAACCGCTCTGAATGACTTTGTTCACATCTTGAACAAGTAATAATAATTACGCAGAACAAAAGTTCTGATTTTTAAGAAAAAAGAGGTTTTATTTACATAATCTGTGCCAGCAATATGCTGTTCTTATGTGTGCATGTGTTTTTCTTGTTAGCATATCATTTTTGAGTATTTGATATAAAAAAAATACATTGAACAGACAAATGTGACTGGAGGATCTGATGACTTTCTGAGGGAAGTTTGAAAATAACTGAAGAACTGGCCAATAATGAACACATACTACTTTATATTTAATTATATTTGATTCTAACATTACTAAATCAGTGCCGTTAAACCAATAGCTTGAGAGTGACGCATTCCAAGGCTGACAAAGCATCAAATATGTCATGCATTATGTGTAGACTCCTACCTGTTTGGTAAAGAAAGAGGCAAAAGTGATTCCTGCGCTTGAGTGAGCTGTAATGCGATAACTTATAGTATTATACGTACACCCACCAATGTGGACCTGCAAAAGGGCATGGGCTGATTCCTACCATCCGTGCCATAAACCTTGCATGAACTGATACATTTTGGAGCTCATTATTTTTGTTAGAAAGCCACCCAGCTTGAAGCAGAGGAGCAGTTGATGAAGCAAGAGCTATAAAAACACAGAGAAAGAGGGGGGTCGGAAATCAACAAGGCAGTTTTCCATCAGCCTGAACCACTCCGGTGAACCTCTCCAGGCAGGCGGCTATCTTCTCAATCTCTGTTGTAATCACTGTTAAGCTGATGGAGAAACTAAACAACAGGCGAAGCACTCCAGCTAACATGTACAAGTGCCCTCCATGGAGTCTAAACTGTGTACGTAAGCGCAGCTCTTGACTGGCTTGGCGCTTATGGTATAGCCCTCTCTCCATTTCCCCAACATGTCAGAAGTACACATATGTTTCCTCTTAAACCAGGTTTAATCAATAGTAATTCATCCTAATTGCCCAGATAGGATAGACAAGTTTCCATTGAGATCAGACCCAGTTTGCTGCTGGCGTGTGTTGATCTTTGCATGAGACCCAGGTCACTGCACACTATCACTGTTTTAACTTAAGCATGTCCATTACTTCCCAAATTGCACTGAAGCAGGCCTGGCGCTCTGATATTGTGCTCCTGAGGGTTCTTTCCCAAAGTGACGCAATTAGAGAAGCTACATAAAAGTCTTCCTAATGATGCTGCTCTAAAGGAGTTTTCAATCAGCTGTGTCATCAGTATTACTATAATAATGTACAGGCTCGGGCTGAGAGCATGTGTTTTCTGGCCTGTACTGTTTGTCTAAGACTATGCTAGCTCTGTAAGGTTTATGGCTAGGTGGCTGCCAAGGTGTTTAAAGCGATCATTCCATGGGAAACCAAATTAGAACCACACCACTTTTACCACAAGTGTAGTCAATCAGCCAAGACATGTTTGTTTCTTGAACTTTCTTTTACTGGTTTTGCATTGGAGCTATGAGGCTAATGTAGTTAACAAGTAATGTAAACCTAAAACCATCAGTTAGAATTGTGACATGATCAAACTGCGTTGAGTTGTAAAGTAATCTCCAATAGACTTTCTTATGTGGTTTCTATGGCACTATATGGCACTACAAAATCTACAAAAATGGAGAGTTTAGATATCACATATGTAAAAACAGAAGCCAGCATCTTGAAGAATTAGCTACAGAGAGTAGGTCATGGCACCTTGCTTTGCTTTTGAATACAATGAAGGGTACAGCAGGGCTAAACCAAACACATTTTGGGCTTTGCATAATCATTTTAAAAGCATTTAAGCAAGATTAGTTTTCTATAGAAACACCTTAACATAGAAATCTCTGCTATGAAAGAAAAAGGACAAAAAGTCTGGTAAAACAATGCACACATATTGAATGTAATATAAATCTATGTTGTTTGAACCCGACAATCTTTCCAACTTAAATGTATAAAAAATTATACATAAAAAAATAGACTAGTGAAAAAAATGAGACCATTCAAAGGCTGTGTTGAATGTTGCAAACTTTTGACTACCACAGTAGAAGAGCACATATCAGCAAAATAAAATTGAAATATATTTTATTTGCACCTGTGGTACATTTTTGATTAATCTCTACATAAAAATGTTTTTAATTTATGTGGCAGGCTATTTTCTTTGGAAGGCTAAGTTGCAACATTGTGTTACCACTAAACCCCATCATGTGGAGGCTGTACTTTAGCTTGGTTTTCTTGGGTAGTTTTCAGTTGTTTGAGTTGTTTCAAATCGGTGCTGTATTTAAGCCAATAGGGTGATAAAAACAACATAGGTGTGAATTTTGTAACATACACACAACCCAGTGACTTATGATGAAAAAATCACTTTCATGGCATAAAAACCTTCATCCTTAGAGTGAATCTGGACAAATATGTCTGGTCACTGTCAAAATGCACAGATTATATTGCTATGAGAACATGAGCAGAAGCATGTTCTACTTCAACCTGCACAAAATATTCATGTTACATTTTACCCTGCATTAGTTTGTGCCCCACTCTCCCCTACTACGATTCTCTGTGCAGTCTAATCCTGGACTAAATTTCTAACAAAGTGTGCTTCTTGAGATGATCATTTAGGACAAGACTAGACTTCATCTGTGTTCAGGAAACATTTATCATGAAAGTTAAACTGCGGCTATGCATTTTAGGAAGAATCGTTTATTAAAGAGCAGCTGGTGCTGAGGGGAGGTCTAGGTCTGCAGGGGGGTAGACAAAGGGGCTTTCTGGAGTGGGGTCAAGCACTGGCACGCATGGGCAGCTCTGAAAGAGCTAGTACAAGGGTCTAGACCATAATACACAGGTGCATAAAACAGTAGTAATAACAGAGGAGCTGCACTGGAGAAATAAAAGACCTTTTTAGAGGGGATATCAAATCAACCTCCCACCACCAGTCAGAAAGATACTGAAAGAGAAAATGTTGGTTACAAAGACATTAACTGTGACAGCACTCAAGAGTTCTACTTTGCTTAGTGCTACCTGTATCTTAGGAGTGCTAATGTATTAATGATGTACCTAATATTACAAACCTCTAGCTCCACTCTCTGCAGAAAAGTCAACATATGTATCCTTAAATCCCTCAATGGATACAGTACTGCTTTCTGAAGTCCACTGCTTCCCTGTGCCTTTCAGGTGCCCCTCATGAACCTCAAGGTTGGGGACATTCTGACCTGTCTCTCCTGTCTACTCTCTCCATGCCTTTGTGCCCTGTTGCTATGTTCCCAATCCCCTCTTGACTCATTCAGTTCTTTGCACTGGCTTTAGTTAATCTGCTTTCATTTTGGAGGAGGGTCTCAGTTCGCTTTTCCAGCTTTGGAGCTGCCAATGAGCGATTATTGCATGCAGTTTATTTTCAATTCAATACCAAGCAGATCTCAATTGTTCATCTAGCTCTATTTCTTTTCATGCTTAACCCAATATTAGATACATCACTCATGAGCCTTTGCTGTATTTTAAGGCTTTGTAATTGAACTAATACAATACAGCCTTTCTTAAATAAAACAGACCAGAGTTATCCAAAGAGTTATCCAGCACAGCTGTGCTGCTGTGGCCAGAGTGAGTGAGAGGCCTTTATTACAGAACCCAAGAAAAATAAAGTCTAGCCTTACTTTAATACTGTATCTTAATCATTCTCTTGACTGAAAGCCATGGATCTAAAGTGTAGATAAAAAAAATATCATGTGATGATCTCTTTGGAACAGAGCAAGCATTCACAGCAGTACACTAGAAAATGTTCCTCGACCCTTGTCTCATAGCTGAGATAGTAGTAGACGGCAATAATAGCAGTCTGGAGTAGATAGGTCTGTTATTTTATAATCTGTGACTGTTATTTATGCTGCATAGCAAATTGTAATAACTATGTATAACTGTGTGTACTTAGACAGCAGTGTCACTGGAAACTCTGACGCAGAAAGACTAAAGGTTAGAGGTTCCATTGCTCTCAATGTGTGTGTGTGAGAATATTGGTGGGTATCCTCCGTGGGTGAGAATCCCAAGAGAGGGGGAATCTGAGAAAGGAGCTTCCGTCAGACGCTTCCTTCCTATGAGGAGCCAGGCTAGCAGCAAGGAAAGAGTGAGCCAGGGCATCTTGAACACAACCATCAGAGAGGAGCACAATAGTCACAGGGATGTCCATCCATGATGTCATCACTCGGAAGCAGGCCTCTCAGTGGGGATTGAGGAGCTGAATGGGAAAAGCCAAGCCAAATCCTGTAGAGCACGAACGGTCTCGAACTCAAATTACATTAGAGTCAAAATAGGCTTATATTTTTCAAAAAAAGAATAAAATTTCAACATGTTTTTCTACGATTTGTAATTAAATACAGGATTTAAAAGATTATTAGAATAACAGCTCCATTAGATGTAGCTAAATTACAGCCATGCCCACTCAATGTGCAGCGTCACACCACTTCAGGTCTTTTTAAACCATTCCTTTTGCATGCAGTCTATTTTTGCGTTGTACAATGTAAGCGTCAGCTTAAGCTGATTTTATGTAGCTTATGTTAAGTAACCAGCACAATGTGTGGTGGATGATGTAAATTTAGCCACAGAAAAATATGAGGAAAAATGCGGGCTGGATTTACGGATAAACTCACGAGCTGGATGTAAGACCCAAGTACGTTGAGAACCCTGATAGAGAGTCAAACAGAGTCCAGTAATAAAAGTGGTTAAGACAGTGAAGAGCATCTATGAAGATAACTAGCACAGTACTTACAGGGATGCCTGCTTGCATGCATCACAGGTCACTGATTGGAGAAAGGAAGTCCAGTCAACTAATAAAAGGGGTAATGAGGTGTGCAGAGTGTGTGAAGACATACACTATACTTAAAGTGATGCCCAACCATGACATCATAGTTGGGGTACAGGAAGTGAAGAGAAGACATATAAGGAGTCAGCAGGCCAAAAGCTATAGAACAACAATGGAAGTGCTAACAAAAGCAACACAGAGCATCTATGAAGACTGTTCTTCTGTCCATCTGCTCAAGATCACATGCCATGCATTAGGGGGTGCTTTTAGATGAAGGTTTAGCATCAGTGTTTAAGTATAATGGCTGCTAAAAGTCAACACTTCAATTCAGGTACATCAGACTCTAGTTCTGAAATGCCACAGTGCTGGTGAGTTTAGTGTTGATTTAACCTGATTTAATCATTAGAAAGGACACAGTGCTTACAGGAATGTCCAGCAAAAACTCTCAAGGAGCTTGTAAGCTAATCAACAGGCTCTTTATGAGATGAATTAGGGGTTTTAGAACAGAGAAAACGAATTGCCCTCCAGGGTTTGAGTCTCACCTCTACACCAATTAAAACTTCGACAAACAACACTATAAACCAAGTCCACTCTCAAGTGTCTGAATGCCATTCTGTGTTCTTTATGTAGAGTCTGTATTGCACAAGTAACGGATTCCAGAAAGCAGCATCCTTCTTGTGTATTCACTCTTTTTCTGGGAAGTTGTAAACTTCGAGACAAGCTTATTTGTCTTGCTGCACAATCTATTGGAAATGAGAAGTTTGCATAAGCTGGAGAGTTTAGATGGGAGAAGAGGCATTGAAAGAATTTAGTTTTCATGTTTCTTCATGACTCTTCCACTGTTCCCTGCTGAATTTTCTGTTGCACTGAGAAGTAGATGTACCTACAGTCTACACAGTGTGCATCTGCTTGAATGGTGTCTGCTGGACCAGTCGTTCTTTGGGTCTAAGAAGTGGTTACTCAATGATTGTCTTTCAGCTGGTCCCACATTTGGGTGTGTGGACCTTAAATGTATCAATAATTACAAAACACCATTCAGTCCATGTACATTGGGCTGCAGTGCTGACAGGTGCCCTATTGCATGTCATTAAACTACTATTAAAACCATTTATTTCCATTGCAAACAATGTTTTCTACTACCCCACAAAGAGGGGTCTGCTTTTTAAGAGTGGCAGTTAGCAAGAAAGTGATAAGGATCAAACCATAATCACACAATTAGAAAAAAAAGGTCTTGCAAATACTCAGCCATCTAGTCACTGAAATACAGGGACCATAACTGCTTCGCACACCCATGTATGAGTAACGCAAAGGCTAGCCTGGGGGTCTCACTCTCTCACCCATGCAAAACGAGTTAACCCCTGACCAGTGACTGAGCAACTATGCTCAAAACAATCCCACAGTCGAACAGAAGGATTTGGCTGAAGAAGACAGTGTTTTTGCTGTAACATAGTCATGGGGCTCCAAGAGGACTGAACAAGTAAAAACACCAAACATCATCCGAGTCTCCTCTCTCACGACTCCCACTGCAAACGCATCAGTTGAAGAGGGCCTGTTCAGATGTTCATGTGTTAGGATCAGATCTCTGACTCATTAAGTTCATTAGGGTCATTATTCTGGAGGAAGACTGTGGAGAAGATGTGGGGATCTGAGGGCTGGAGTCCAGTACAGTTGGCCTATTCCCTCGCTCTAGCACACGAACAGAACCTAGAAATAAACTGATGAGGTTAGTAGGGTGTGTTTGAGCAGGAAAGTCGCCAAACTGTGCAGGATTTCGGCCCCCTGCTGTGGAGTGTATTCTTCTGGTCCAGAGGTCTTCATTCCCAGATCTTCATTCCAAATTCCAGTTTTGGATTTTGTACTCACTGGTAGTCAATTGAACTGTTGATGCAACTGTTGCCACCTAGTGTCATATCAACCAGTGATTACAAAATCCAGGATTCAGGACTGCAGGATTAAAGACCTCAGTCTGCCATTATGATTAATGTTCATTAAGTTGTCAGCTGCTGTTGTCTTGAAAATATGATTCCACCAAGGCTCTCTGGCTAATTAAGTTCATCCAGAAACAGGGATACTCCAGTAAAATCTAGCCAGTCCAACATGTGTGGGACAACACAGACCGCCCACGCCTGAAGTGCTCAGCAGTGACCCCTCAGCCTCTGCATTCAGTTCTCTTAATGGAGCAAAGGCTATTGCATGCTAGATGCATTGGGCGGCTGCCACCAGAGGGAGAGATACCACCAGAGAGAGAGACGCCACTCAGTATTTCGCTATTGCTGTACCATAATAAACCCAGACCAAGATCACAAATCCAGAGTAGGTAAAATATGGCTTGAAAAGAAGGCGTCCTTAAAATAAACAAATGCTAATCTTCTGTTTTCACCTCAGCTAATGTTACAAGTGTAGTTTATTGATAAATTCAATAAATTACATTGTTTTATTGCATTAAATCTGTACAAGAGGGGTGTAAAATTAACTTGAGCTAGTTTGTCTGTTCTTTTTCTGTGACACTTCCTATGTGCTGAAGATGCGCTTAGTACTATTTGCCAGCCTGTGCCAGAAAGGAGCACGTCTGGTGTGTGGTGGCCTTTAGGCAGCTGCAGTAGTCTTTCTATGCTTACTTCTTTGGACTAAACAGATAAGAGACTGATTAGAACGTAGGGCAATGGCTCTATGTGTCATTCTGGTGGCTCTATGTGTCATTCTGGTGGAGGGCCTAATTTTATCCACATAGGGTTGGTGTGACTGCAGGTTTTCATTTTGATTCCACTTGTTTAATCAGTTGGTCTCAGCCGTCAAACAGCCGATCAGGTGTGCTTCTGCTTGGGGGAAACAAAAAATCGAAATCTACCCTGGCCCTTTGTGGATAAGAGTCCACACAATACAGTAGCTTTGGACTAAAACACGAATATAGGATGAAAAATATGGTCTTGTGGTGAAGAGAGTGTAAATAGAGTGTAAATACAATGTGGAACAAAGGAGGAAAAAAAACAATCCACATAATATGGAAAAAAATCTGAATGTTTTTATTTCAAGAACACGGAAGCAAACATCCGGTCATTGACTAATTAAGCTCAACTGCATATAATGTGTTCCAAAAAACACATTGCATGCTTCACAGTGAGAAGACGATATCATGTCCCTCTGGGCAATGCATTGTCATTAGCCTTTAACCTATGAGACAGGAAATGAAGGTTGTTGACCCACAAACAAGCAAACAAAACAACAGTAAAACGAAAATTAATTAGGACAAAGAACCTTCCACATGCTCCACAGACTGCTCTGATCTAATGGACATCTAGGGCTTTCTAAAAGCAACACCCCGTATGCACAGTATTGTATAATGGATTCCTGTTGTTGTTCTCTCTTCCAGGAATTGGTGTGCGTTTGTGCACAAGCGTGTAGTCACTACAGCAGTTTCTTGTGGCACTGAGAAATACACCATCAAATCCCAGAGCCCCTGTCCTAATGGAACGCCAGATTGCCAGTTAGTAATGTGAGTAGTAATGTCCACATCACCAAATCCATGCATAGATTGGTGTGAAAAATGCTGCGTCTGAAATACTATGCACGTATGCCATGTAGGTACAAGCTCTCCACTCGGCCGGTGTACAGAGAGAAGCAGAAGATCTTTACTGCGCTCCTGTGGAGATGCTGCCCAGGTCATGGGGGGGAGAACTGTGATGAAACAGGTACTGAGTGGTCATATAGGCATAGCTTTTGATTTTTTAGACAGTGGCCCCTCAAGTAGTATGTCATACCCTAAACTTCCAAACATATCAGTCTTTCATTGCGTTTGCTTTGGCATTGACAGACAAGTCTTGACGTTCTGAATGCAACCTGACACTGATTTGGCTGCAGCGCTTGTCCCTGCTCTCCATCGAACATATCCAAAAGTCACGATTTATGGCCTGTCTTTCAGCAGCTAATTTAGACCAGATTTCCTGCGCATTAAATGGCCCTCAAGTCTTGTGGCTGATCTCATGGGAAAAAGGCCATGTTTACAGAAACTTGGGGAGAAACCAAGAGTGGTGACATTCTGCCTTCCCTCTGTCTGTTTGTCGTCCAGTTGCAGGCGGCCATGTCTCTGAGCCCGAAGACTCTAGCACATCCGGAAGGCTTCATCCTGGAGGTCCGGAGATCCAGCATGCAGGTGCAGGTCCTGACCTGGTCTGCTTTCACTGAATGTTTACCTGCTCCAGGAAGGCAGGCAGGCTGGGAGGTAGCCCTGTTAGGTTCCACTGGCCGTGTACACTGAAGCTCTCTTCTGAAACAAAATGAGGATATTGTGAAATGTGGTTGTGTAAACGGTAGTTGGCTGTGGGAAGGTCATCACCCTCAGGGGAGAGCGGAAAGGGAGTGTGGAACCAGAAGTGCTTTCTGGGCATGAAGCAAGGCCACCTGGAGATGAGTGACCAGCCCTCATGTGGACAACCCAAAACATAAGGCGTCTCCAGCATGCTAGCACAAAAGCACGCTCCTTGAAATAATGGTGTGCTTCAGAGCAAGCTGCAAATACCTCAGGTCTAAAAATACACCATTTGGCCTTTAGGCTTGCGTAGCACACAATGAAGAGAGTGTACACAAAATTATTTTCCTGATACCCACCCACTGTCCCTACTGAACGCACATTGTGGAAAAGATTAAACAATTGACCGATGCAGCTGTTGCGAAGTAACTTCCAAACAGCATTTAATATTTGAAAAACAAGGTCAGTAAGTACTGCTGCCCTGCCTAACTCACTGTTTATCCTGCTCCAACACGCTCGTTCATTAGTTGATTAGTTGAATAGAGCAGGACCAGGAGTGTTTAATTCCCCAGTTGGACATACTGGGGAAAAAGAAACTTTTACATTAGAATATTGAGAGGTAGGTGCAATTCCACTGAGACTTTCCATTCATTTGTTCTTCTCATTCCTCTCAGGTTCTGAGAGGGTGATCCACAATCAGAATGAGGAACAGAATGACCATGATGATCCCAGCAGATCTCTATACCTGAGCTCTAGAGAGAATCAAACAGAAGAGCACAGCTACGACCATCCTCACAGCCAACATGACGGCCGCGAGTACCACTATGAGAGAGTCGGTAGGTGCAGAATTGATTCATTTCAGGTAAACACATGCACAACAGTCTCACTGGCAACTGTAGGAGATGCAGAGCTAAAGCAGAAGCAGTGGAGGGTGAAGACCATTTAGACTCAGGTGTTGTGTTCATCTTAAACACTGGGCAGAAAATGAAGAGTAAATGCAAAAGAGTGAATCAATTTGCAGCCAATATCTATGGGCATAACTGGATATGCATTAACCCTTTATGATCTACATCGAGGCCTTTCCAGGTTTGCCTTTGACAAAATAATGTATTACACTATATCCTTAGTTTCAGCACAACCTCAGCTAAGGAGATGTTATTTGATATACACTCCCAATTAAGAGAATCTCCAGAATTATAGATCTTAGTCTCTATACATGTATACTTATAGAGCAAGCCATGCACCATGCAGCAGAAGAAACTATTAGTCTTTTTCTACAAATGCAAGTGGCAGTTTGATGATGGAAGGAAACATTAGCCCAGTTAGCCTGATACCAGATGCAAGGGGGAGAAAGCATTAAAAAAAGCTTTAAAAACTGTGTGGAATTTTGTTTCACTAACAGGGTGGCTGGTCTTACATAATAATAATAATGATTATAATAATTGCTTTATATATAAAGCACCATTCACACACACATCGCATGATTTACAGTGAAACAGTAAGCTAAAAAAATGAAAAGCAGAAACACATTTGATAAAAGTAACAATAAATACAAACAAATACAAACCTCAATTCCCAAAAAAAGACAAATTGCTTTTGTCTTTTGTATGGTCATTCCAATTTTGATGCCTATAACACATTTGAAAAAAGTTGGTACAGAACCATTTTTTACCACTGTATTACATCACCTTTCCCTTTACCTCAGTAATACACTCAACCATACAAGGCTTTCACTGTCATATTTTGCACTTCATAATGCATAATGCACACAGTTGGAGACAGATCTGGACTGCAGGCAGGCCAGTGTAGCACCTGCACTCTCGGACAGTGCAGCCATTTGAGCAGAATTGTAGCCTGGCTCATTGTTGAAATAAGCATGGACATCCTGGAAAAAGACGTTGTCTAGAGGGCAGCATATGTTGCTCCAAAATGTGTATATATCACTCAGTGTTAACCCACGCCTTCACAAATGTGCAAGTTAATGTGCCATGGGCATTAATATGATCCCATACCAAGACAGATTCTAGCTTTTGAACTTTATGCCAGTAACAATATGAATGTGTCTTTTCTTCTTTGGCCCAGAAAACATAATATCTGTTATTTCCATAAACAATCTAAAAGGCTGACTCATCAGACCCCAGTACACATTTTCAGTGTCCATTAGTCCATTTCAGATGTGCTCAAGCCCAGAGAAGTCAACGGTGTTTCTGGACATTGTTGACATATGGCTTCCACTGTGCATAGTGCAGTCTTAATTTGTATTTGTGGATGCAGCGATGGACGGTGTTTATTGACAATGTTGTGTCAAATTACTCCTGAACCCATGTCATGATATCCATCACAGAAACATGCCAATTTTTGATGCTGTGCCGTCTGCGGGATCAGTTCTGTTTTTTGGCCAGATTGCTCTGAACTCCCTGAATCTTTTGGTGACATGCAAAGTAGTGAAATACATAAAATACTTGCAATCGCTTGTTGTTAAACTGATGGATAATTTGTGCACTAAAGTAGTGCACCTCGACCCATCCTTGCTCATAAAGGAGTTGGCTTTTCCTGGATGCTCCGGTTATACCCAAGCATGTTTGCATCACCTGTTTAAAATGTGTTTTTAACATTTTACCACATCCCTAGTCTTTAATTACCCCTGTTCTGACTTTTTTGGTTTGTATTGCAGATATCATTTCAGAACAAGCGCATCTTTACAAAAAAAAATGAAGTTAAACATTAAATACATTTTCTTTGTGATGTTTTTGTTTAAATAAAGATTACAGTGGATATATAAATTCACCGCTTTCAGTTTTTATTTGCATTTTATATAATATCCCAAATTTTGGAATTCAGGTTTGTATAATAAATTGAAGAGAATGAAAGAAAATAAAATACAAGATAAAATGAAGAGATTGAACTATGAAGCTGCATGAGAATTTTAAATGAAAGCTACATTTTTGGATATTTATCAAAAGTTTGTACCAAACTTGACTGCCTACTTGTGAAACGTAATGGGTCCCACAGTTTAGAAGTATAATTAGAGAAAGCGGCCTCTCCACTTTCTCTGAAATTTATGGAGAGTATTTACGAAAGGCTTATATGCCTGTAGAACTATGACCACAAGTTGGAACATAAACAGACAAGTGCTAGACCATTAAGAGCTTAAACAAGCAAAAAGCTATTTTAAATCTTTCCTAAAACATACAGGTAGCAAGTTCAAGTTGGGGGTCATATGTGCTCTCATGCTGAGGATAGAGCTACTAAACCAGACACCCCAACTGCATTAGCTACATCTAAAAACCAACACATAGCTGTTTTGAGCACTGTCTGGTTCACAGCCTGTCTCTTACATATCCTTAGAGCCGGAGAGCATAGCATTCCTGCAGCAGTAAATAAGGCAGCAGCTGACTTGGGAAAACCTTTGTTGGCTGTATTTCCAGACTGCCATTCCTGTGCAGTGACACCTCCTGCTCACTGTCCATACTCTTTACAGCTTCCTCCCAGGATATCCGCTCTTTCTCTGGGAGGAAAAAAGACCCTCCATACATTGTACATAAAGAATGATGTAATGGTCTAAGGGATTGATATATACAGGTTCTGATATAGGACGAGATGTGCTCCATCAACACAAAGGGTACTGCTGTGAGACCATTTCCGGAGCAGCTGCAATGTGTAAATATACACAAAACAACACATTAATTCCATCCAGATTAGACAAGGAAAGTATGGGATAATCTCAGAAGCTTGCGCATTTCACACTAAACTCTTTGTGGCCTGAATGAGCTCCTTAGTACTCAGTAAAAACAGTATTATAGAATGAAATGAGAGTTGGAGCAATGATTTCAGGTGCGTAACCAACAGAAACCAGTTTCCCAAATGCATCTTAATATTAACTCCATCTGAACCTCCCGCAGAGTGTTTAAAGTAACAGCATTGTTACACTATCATCCTACTGGTACCTTGCCTCAGGCTTCTGAAAGCTGGGCCCAAAATCTTGAGGGAGGTCCTGGAGAGTGACCCCTTTCTCTCAGAGGGGTAGCAGGGGTTTTCCTCTTTGTGAGGAGCTGTAACTCACTCAGTGTAAAAAGTACCCACTGGATGACAAACACTCCCTTATCGCTTGTATCACACTTTAACCTCTGAGAGGAAACAGGAAGGAGTGGGAGTCTGGACTCTTTCCAGATATCTAAATGACAGCCCATGAAAAACAGAGAAAAGACCGCAGGGCCTGCACAGCTCCCACGAGGGCAGATCAGTCTCTACATGCACGGCTGAATACACAAACACACACACATGCTCATAAAATTCATTTCCTTTTCTCACCTCACATTCCCTTAAAGATGAAATAACTTCGTCTTTTTCTCTCCAGCATGGAAACACAGAAAGGGTGATGTGCATTAACCGTTTAGGATCTACATCAAAGCTTTCATCTCAGCTAATGAGATTTTACTCATTGTACACTCCCAGTTTCCAGAAGAAGAGATCTTAAACCACAGACAACCAACCAAACATGCCAAATCCCTGATACTGCACTGCAAAAAATGGTATCCTGGCAAGTGAAATGATCCTAAATCTAGTCGATATATGTAATAATTCTCATTTCGAGATTGTTGTAAGCTTATTATAAGATTTTTTTAAACTTATGTCTGGACATTTTTTACTTGTTTGAAGGAATGTTATTTAAAATAAAATTACCTCACACACATTATCTAAGCCGCTCATCCTTCTGGGTCACGGGGGATGCTGGAGCCTATCCCAGTGGTCATTGGGCAGAAGGCAGGAAACACCCTGGACAGTTCATCTGGCCAATGCAGGGCAGACACACAGACATATACAATAACACACACATTCACACCTAGAGGTAAATTAGCATGTCCAATTGGCCTGACTGCATGTCTTTGGACTGTGGGAGGAAACCCACACAAACTCGGGGGGGGGAACATGTAAACTCCACACAGAAAGGACCCTGGTCACCGGACTGGGGAATCGAACCCAGGCCTTTTTTGCTGTGAGTCGACAGTGATACCCACTGCACCTATCTTGCTATATTGGCAAATAATTTCTCTTAAGAACTTGCCTGAAACACACAAAATTATCTGCTTTAAAAATTACACCTATCTCAGAATGAGAAACATTAGATATATAAACTAGTTTTAAGATTATTTTACTTAAGACATTTTTTCAGTGTGAACCAACAAAAATGGTGAATAAAACTGATCTACATATGAAATGATAGCACAAGCAAAGTCTATTTCTAAAAATGTAAGTAGTAGTTTGATGACAGAGGAAGCATTAGCTCAGTTAGCCCAGTATTTCTAGTTTTATGGGAGGGAAAATGCATTTAAAAACTATTTTTAGAGCTTTTTAAGTGTCTTTAACCTTAGTAAAAGGGTCTAAGGTTGGAGGAATGACCTCTGGATAAGGTAATGAGTCATAAATCATTCATACATGAAATACTATGAGAATAAACTCACTATGTTGACAGCCTGGGCAACCAACAATTTAAAACCAATTTCCTTTCCTGGCAGTTAATCATAACAATAACAGAAACTTAGGAATCTTTCATAAACTTTTCTGAGTGTCTAACAGTTTTCTTAAGTGCTGCCTAATTGGTTTCATGATGAACATGACTGTCATTCTACATTAACTGGAAGCAAATATCAGTTGGGCCATGAAGGTTCAGCACTTAAATAAACATGATATTTTCAGTCTAATCTCCCTCTTCGAATGCTAATTGTTTCTGTTGAGTCCACTGTCACACATTTTTAAGATACCGTTTCTCATCTCAGACTCCTACGGCGCAGATGATGAACGTACAGAGCCTCCTCCAGAAGCTCCGCACTCAAACCCTGGTCTCATACCCATCCACAACTTAAAGGAGATCATAATGTCTCATCTTCAGCCTGTGCTCGACGGCTTCAACCTCACGCTGGAGAGTCTGTCTCAGGAGGTGAGAGGTCTGCAGAGGGACATGGCATATCTGCAACTCCAACATGAGCTGGAGAGGGAATCTGAGGTGGAGGGAGGTGGAGGAGGGGAGGAGTTGCAGCAGCATGAAGACAAGCTAACAGACACCTTCCAGCACCTGGAGGAGCTCAGGATGCAGCTTAGCCTGCAGCGAGATGAGATGGAGGAGAGGCTACATGGACAGCAGACCATGCTGCTCTACAACCTGACCAACCTCAAGACCGACATGGATGTCAAAATTAAACGCAACCAAAAGATACTGCAGGTCAGAATACACTGGGAAATTTAATGTGAATACCATGCACGTAAAGCAGACAGATAACCCGAACATGCATTGATGGGAGACTTTTTTGGTGTCAAGCCCCTCATGTTTATCATACAATGTGTGTAACACTGAAAAAACTTTTTCAGTTTTTACACGTTAGTGAGTAAACACAAGAATAAGGACTAAAATCTTTTCCCCTGAATGTTGTATTTCTTCAGCGCTCTGGGTAATATTCCTGATCCCTAAAACCTTTGGACTTTCCTCTCAGAGCCAAATCCTCATCTTAATCGTTACTGGAAAAGCTTCAAATTTGGGATCAGGTGAATTAAGAAAAATGTCAGTAACAAATCAACAAAGTACTCCGACCAGAGCTTGAAATATTTGTCTGAACCTGACGGGGTTCAAGTACTCATGTGGGGTTTGGACGTCATTTTCCAAATATATGTCAGGCTCAGGTCAGGTTCAAATTTCACATTTGAGTTCTCACAGCATGTCTTCCACTTTTAATAGACTTCACCCAGCATTTCCCCCTCCTTACTTTATTCTTCCTCTCTACTTTCATTACCTTAAATCAGTTTTCTGGTTAGCTGGTGTCACCTACACGTCTTCTTGACAGACTTAAGCACCATAAGGGCCCACACTTGTGAAAAAAAAAAAAGGGAAAGAGTTTAGTGCAGGCAAAATTACGTTTAATATTTCGTAAAGTATTTTTAGATTTTTAATTTGTTTTATATAACGTTTTATGTAAAGAAATAGAGCATTCATATTTAGGATGCTAGCGTGTTATTGTTGTTATGCAGTAATTGAACTAGCGCTGTCCTGTCATGCTTTATTTACCACTTTGGGTGATGATCATTTTGGGCCAGTTCAAATCTTGATTTGAGGTGGGTTCATAATTTAGCTGGGCTCAGGCCGGCTGCAGCCAGAATTCTGTCAGGCTCGGTCACATTTGGACAAAATTTTGTCGGATTGTGTAGGCTTTTGACAGAATTTTGTTGGGCTTGGGTCGACTTCGGATAGCATTTTGTCAAGTTTGGTTTGGCTTCTAATAGAATTTTGTTGGAATTTGGTCAGCTTTTGAGACAATTTTGCAGGACTTGGGTCGGTTTCTGGCAGAATTGTATCAGACTTCGGTCGGCTTTCAAACAGAATTTTGTTGGACTTTGGTCGGCTTCTGACAGAATTTTGTAGGGCTTGGGTTGGCTTCTGATGGAATTTTGTAGGGCTCGGGTTGGCTTCAGACAGAATTTTGTAGGGCTCGGGTTGGCTTCTGATGGAATTTTGTCAGGCTCGGGTTGGCTTCAGACAGAATTTTGTCGGACTCAGGTAGGCTTCCAATGGTTTTTTTTGTCGACTTGGGTCAGCTTCTGACAAAATTTTGCTGGACGATCGGCTTCTGACAGAACTTTGTCTGGCTCGGAACGGCTTCTGACAATTTTGTAGGGCTTGGTTAGATTTAGAACAGAATTTTGTCAAGCTTGGGTGTGGTTTGGACTCAAAACACAATGCTGTGTGTTGGTGAAGGGTCAGACTCGGACAAAAAAATTCTCAGTCTGCATACCAGTTTGGGCCAAACATTTAGACCTGATTAAAGTTCTAATTCTGAAAGTAGCACTACAAACAGATTTCATTCTCTATGTCATGCAGACACAATTGAGAAATAGGCATTTTCCAAGCATGTTAAGCTTATAAACTGTTGTATAAGGACCTTTTAACACAATGTACTAAATGCACTTCAGAGGAAGGTGTGATTGCCTTCATATCATAAGAGCCCTACAGCTGTGGAAGTTGGCAAAACTGAAAAAAGATAAATTAGTACATTTTTTAATACATTCCACACATCACACTGAGTTTGTAATAAAACGATGACTAGAAGGTTAATCTTCAGAATGTGTAGGAACTTACATTCATACTGAGAGAACCATATAGGATTCACAGCTCTTTTTATACATGGTACTCCTATTACTGGGGATCAACAATGAATTGGATTGGCTGTTCAGTTGTTTCTTGGCCAGGTCTGTGCCACAAAGCGTGGAGTCTTATGGACAGATAAGATTTACATATACAACAGTAATGAAATGAGAATATTGTGGAGTGTGGAGTGGTTGTGAAACAGTTGCTCATAATGAAAATACTTTTTCTTAGAGACTTAGAGGAAGGGACATGTATGGCTGAACTGGACCAAATGTCTACTGATGATGCACATGAAGCCTTGAAGCAGGACAATGATATAAAAATACTGACAAAAGGTGTAGAAGGTGTGTTTTGGTTTCCCAAAAGCATCTTAAGACAAAGATGATACTTAAAAGGTAGAGTGAGCATACATTTAACACTCTGTCCACCAGTTAAGATGATCTTAAGTCAGGGCCCGAGTCAGTCAGCCAAACTGAACCCCACTGAGCAAGCCCTCAAAAGCTGCAGGAACTGAAAATGACTGCAGATCTGACAGCACCAGGATGATGAAAACAGATTTCAGGATTTGTGCTTTTCATTTATGCAAATGATACGTAAAGCAAGAGCTAAACAGGACAGTGTTTTTAAGATTACGCTTTGTCCAGTTACTTTTGGTCCCCTGAAATGTGGAAATTTAAAGAAACAAACAATCCCATATAACTGTAAATACCCCCAAACATGCGTTCAACACATTTACCTCAACATCATTTCATAGTGAAATTCTGTGCTGGAGTAAAGAACTACAATAACAAAAACAGTTACACTATTATGGCCAACACCATACATTTTAAAAGATGTGTGTAATATAAAAAACCCACATTTTAAATTTTAAAATGCTCGTATTTTCTTAAAAAAAAACCCAAAAAAAGCACAACATTTGCCTGCTTGCTCTGCCTGTCCCAGTTTATAGAATTTAATAGTGTTTTTATTCTCACCACAAAATACCTTGTAGGATTTTTTAGTCCCTATGTTGCCATGAAGGATGTTATTATTGTCTATACATTGCTGGAGTTCTTTTATGATTTACTGTATGCTGATGTGGCGCCTTAAGACTAATAGAAATGTTTGTCCTGTCACAGACAAACCTCCAGTCCCTGAATTCCTCACTATCAGAGTTGAGGCAGGAGCAAGAGCGGCTGGAAGAGGAGCTTCAGATTGTTCAGACATCAGAAAGAACAATTCCCAGCCAGGCACCCCCTCAGGAAGACACGGCTGTCTGGGAGGCCATTACCCGCCTGGATAATAAAGTTGTCAACAACACCGTGGAACTCAGTGTCTTAAATGAAGATCAGGTCAAAATGTCTCAGAACATCAAACACCTTCAGAAGGTCTCAAAGAACCTAGGGGATCTTATATTCCAAACTGACCGAAAGAACGAGGACAGATATATTGAGGCTTTCCTGGAAGTGGATGGACTCAAAACGGAAGTTCAGAACATTGTTGATGACAAGGTCAGCAATATCACTACCGTCCTTCAGGAGATGGAGGAAGACATTAACTATTTATTTAAGCAGTTCTACAAGAACATAAGCTCTGACAGTAGAAACTGTGACTGTACGGCCCTCAGCACCTCTGTGGCTCAGTTGAAACAGGATGTGGCGGATGTCATTGTGGTGGCTAACGAAAACAGGTTAGCCCTCGACAGTGCAGCAGAAGAGAGAATAGATAGTTGGAGAGATGGTGACTGGCGCCCATCGGTGGATGATCTAAAGTTAGGTTTACAGAACGTGCAGAGCTCACTGGCGTTTGAGCAAGAGAAGAGCAGGACACTGAAACAAAAAGTAACTATGCTCCATGCCTCTCTCTCAGGCAGTCAACAGGACATTGAAGCTCTGCAGAGCCAAAACAGAACCATGGTTATTGAAATAAATCGCCTGGCCAGCTCCTTCAACTCTCTGCTGAATGATGCCGTAAGTCACACGAAAGTACTGGAGATCCTGCTTGGTGAGGAGGTGTTGGAGTTTATGGACTGGCCTGTCCAAGACAAAGAGGCCCATTCCATACCTGCGCTGAAGGACAGTATCAGGGACATGCAAGAACAGATTAACAGACACAGCAAAAGCCTGGCCTCCATGCTGAACTCTGCTTCATCTAGGGATACTGTGGCAGATGAACCATCTGTGCCTTCAGAGTGGACCTCAATGGATCTTAAAAGGATACGAAGACACCAGAGATTTGACCGTTTGCCAGAGAAACTCCCAGACTACTCGGACGCTGACTTCCTTGCTTTGGAAAAAACAGTGGAACAGCTTCGAGAAAAAATTCTCAAGCTTGAAGAGCAGCGCTGCCCGTCCTGCTGCAATTGTACGAAAGGGGCTGCCCCTGGAGACATGCAGGTTAAACTTCAAGCGGAGTTGACTAAAATGCACAAGGATCTCAAGGAGCATCTCAGGATTTTTAGCAGCATTTTCACTAATACAGATGGTCTAGCTGGTTCTGAAGCAACAGTAGACTTGGACAAACTGTCTGCTCTGATGAAGAGAAAAGACACAAAACAGCAAAGGAAAAGGCAAAAGAAGAGAGCAGATGGAGGAGTGGAACAATCTGGGGAACACAAACTTCGTAGCAAGAGGGATGCGTCACTTGAAACAGCAGGTAAGATAGTAGAGACATAACAAGGGTTAAATTTCATAGAGAAGTGTAGAAAAACTTTCACAATTTTAAGAGTAGAATACAAAAGGTGGTAAGTGTTTTACGGCTACGTTTTACATTATATAACATACAATTTATTTATGTAGTGCTTTGTGAGCAATGCTAAAAGTTGATCTGAAGACAATCAGAAACAGGATGTTAGACATGAAAACATGTTGAGTAAAACATTTAATATAAGTGTAAAGCTGAATTACAACTTCCAGAACAGGATAGGAGTTCATGCATGAGTGTAATTACAAATCAGGACAGGAGGTAAAGAGGGATGTGATGATAGACTATTCATTAAAACCTCTGGGGCATCCAGGAGAGGCTTTTTATCACGGCAGGAGAGCGAATGGCAAACGAAGGGGCCAGAGCAAAAATACTCTCTCAGAATCTCACATCAACAGCAAATCAGATAACAGGAGTATTCATAGAGCTCAGCAAGAAGACAACAGATTTAGGTCAAGGGACTGGGATAGTCATTGCCAAAACCTGATTCTGGGATCAGTGAGTCATTTTTTGTGGATCTAGATGAAAGCCTTGGATCAGAGTCATACTCTTCACTTCAAGGCTGTCCATTAGGGACGGGTCTTTTCATGCATCTAGTTATTTCCTTTACAGCTGTTACCTGTTTAAAAAAAAAGTCAAAGGTATTTTGGCATGTACACAACCTCATATCAATATCCCAGTGAAAAAGAACAACATGGAAAACTTAAAAATATATTATATGTAAATAAAAGTAAAATCTGAAGATATGTCTTTTTTCTATAAGATTTTATGTGGAAGAGCTGCTAGGGATGCCAGTAAGTGTGATGGTTTGGGTCCAGATTTCTCCTTGGTGCCAGCCATTGCATGGACTAAATTCTATCACCTGCACTGCTGATTGAACTTAATTAAATAGCCAAACCAGATACTGAATAATGACTACAAATAATAATACTTCCTTAAGGAGAGATTTGGAAATGGTTACCAAACACATTGACATGCATTTTTATATGAAGTATTTGTACATATTCTAATATTAGCGTTTGTCCGAGCATATAAAACGCTTACTGCCCAAAAAAAGTCTTTTAAATGAAACAGACCTTTGCACAGTACTGTATACTTCCCAATTTTACCTCAGTTTGAGGTTATGATTCCCTCGATGGTTCTGAACTTTTAAGCACCTGGGACAAGAGAGGGCTGGGTATGTTGTATGTCAGTGATGTAACATCTCCCTCTGGTGAACAGCAGCTGCCGTTGCAGCCTTGAGGGCCTAGATGAGCATGGTGAGGTGCTCAAGCAACTGGCAATTTTATTGTGGTCTTGAGTCAGACGATTTTAGGTTTCATTTCGAAATCATTGGCTGTGGTTGCTGACCAGGTGTGGTAAATAGATATTAGGTCAAAAAAACACGGGCATTCTTTTAAAACATGTTTCCAGGTCAGTTTCTAACAGTTGGATACAAAACTAGTAACTGGTTAACAGTGCTATACATCCAAAGAGAAAACTAACTAGACTAACATAGCTGGGTTAGTTTTCCTATAATAGCCAGAACACATGGGAAAACATGGGTAAACATTAGGATTATAAAAGTGATTGTTCCCTTCCTTGTCTTCCCAGTGCTCAGCCAGCTTCCTGACAGCCCACTCATGTTCCTGGCCAGCAGGAGAGATGGCGTCAACATATCTGGAACGGTCGTGTTTGAGACAGTGTCTCTAAATCGAGGGCAAATGTACTCACCCAAGACAGGAGCATTCCGGGCACCTACTGCAGGAGTTTACCTGTTTGTGTTGACGCTGGACTTCGGGCCTGGGCCCTCCTTGGCGCAGCTGAAGAGAGGGGAGGAGGTGGCAGCTTCCCTACATCAGAGCCAGAAGAAGCCAGCAGGACCTGCTACTCGTGTTTGCCTTCTACAACTGGAACAGGGTGAGGAGCTCCAGTTGGAAATAGTGCAGGGTACCCTGGAGCCCAGCAATCCACAGGACAATACTTTTGCAGGACTGCTGATTCTACAGACCACCTGAGGGCCCTTTTTTTTTTTGACCTGAAAGCATAAGCAGAGACACACTGGGATGAAAAGAGATGAATGACAGACCGCAGTTCCTATTTCAGGTTCATGCCTATACAGCTTTCTTTCTGTTTGCTCAATTAGTCTCCAGAAGTTTATTATAAAAGTTGGCATCTTTATATATGGCAGCATTTCATTTTAAATGATTAACACACATTCTTGTCCATGTGTAATGAAAGTCTGGCTATCTTTCCTTTCCTTCCAGACAAGTACTATGTAGATATGGTATATATTAGAATTGTTGCCTCTGCACCTTCAATAACAAAGAATATAGAATTGTAGTCTTGTGTTGCAATTTATAATAAGATAATCGGGCAGTTAGTATGAGGCCTGGCCAATATACAATAATAACAATATTTTCTAGTTCTAGAGAAAAAATGGGATTATCAATTATTCAAGCAGTATTATATTTTCATAATTTACTCATTTGAACCACTGGGACACTTCAGCTGTACAGAAAATGTTTTTTCTCAAACTGTAAATCTCACTCTGGGAAACCGATCCACCGAAGCCTAACAGCTTTTTAAGGCCCCATATTAACACAATATTTTAACAGTAAAAGTGCATAGGATGTTAAGTGTATTTATATTTTTCTGATCCTGTTTTTTGGCTGTAGACAGGGATCAGAAACACTCTGTACATCTAAAAGTTTCAGGGTAAGAGCTCACTTGGCTTCTGTATGGTTAAAACCGGTCATTCAACTTGGCTGTTTCGGTCACAGTGAAGCTGAAGTTCCAAAGCACGTCTGCATTTATGTTCAGGGGAGAGAAATAACAGGCAGCTTCTAATAAACGTCTCTCAATCTCTCTCTCACTAACAGAAACTGACTTGTTGCGCACACTTCTTAAAGGAACGTGAACCTCAACTTCCCAACATATTTAGCAAGCTGTGTAACAGTAAACAAGTCCTCTCTAGTTCTCTGTGTTTTCCCAAACACAGTGATTATTGCCTTTTAAACATCGGCAGCGGGTTACTTGTCAATCATCAGTTATATCGCCCAGGCCTAGTTAGGACACAGTAATATCAGTAATGTCTGCTGTTTACACATTTGTCAAAGTTCATATGAAATGACCCACAAACACTCAACAGACTTGTGTAGTAAAATGGAGTATTTACTGAATACATTGGGCAAATATTATACATCTGATATTTGTATTCTCTTGGCAAACTCATAAGGCACCCATTCAGCCAGGAGCTAGATAAAATGTGTGATAATTACATACTGGGGAGTCTTTTAGTAGCTATGCATTAGATAACACAGGGAGGGGCTGGGTAATGCTTTGGCAAAGCACTTTTAAATATCTGCATTTCACAGATGCTACATTTCAATTGTTAAGGCTCCAAAGATACACAATTTCATAACGAAGAAGCCAAATGGGGAAAAAAAAACATACAAAGAAAAACAAGCAAACAAGAAGAAAGTGTCAGACAAATGTCTTAACTTAGCCCATAGTTTAGAGGCCAGCCTTGTACTGAGGGCTTACTTTTTAGTTAGCATCTTAAAGTAAGATGAAGGCCAATGTGTCAAACTCAGTTAGGAACCCAATTTAGACGGTTAGCTTAGATAAATGAAATCTGAGAAATGAAACATAGGTGCTTGTACAGAAAATACAGCTGGTTGCTCTTTCAGACCACAGATTACTTATACAGCAACTGTTTGACAGAACTTTAGGACAAATTGACTTGTATATCATGTGCTCTTTACATACATATTACCGTTAAAAGTTTTGAATCATTTGCCATAAGAACAGTTAGTTTAATAACTTGTACAATGTGGATTTAAAAATTATGATTTGCCAAAAGGATTTTTAGATGTTTGATTCAATAATTTCAAAATTCTGCTTATTTACAAGTTATTAACTATAAATAATGTAAATATACTGTAAAATCTTTTTACATTAATTTTTTCTCAAGTTATCTGCCAAGTTATACCACTTTCTGTTCATCATTCTGGACACATCTAACATTTCTAGCATAGTAGAATCATTTTCTACACTCATCTCCAACCAAACTGGTTTTATATTACTGAAAACACTGATTCCAAACTTTTGAACAGTAGTGGGCAAACATATACAGTACTGTGCAAATGTCTTAGGCAGCCAAGAAAAATATTTTAAATGGGTAGTAAGCATTCATTTGCTCAAAAAAACCCAGAAAAAAATAGTAATATTTGAATAAATATAAACAATAATAATACAATAAGTAGTGATTTTATGTATCAGAATGTTAGCTTAACCATTTCTGAACCTCTCCTCATGGAAGCCCAGAATTTGAAGAGTTTATTCCAGAATGCCATATATTAATTTGTAACAATTTTGGATATATCAAGTTTTTGAAAAGAATAGCTGACGTATAAAGGTATGAAACACACAAATATATATTTTTATTTCTGTAACAAACGTGGTATTAATCATCTAGCATTGTATGTGTAAAGCCCACTATCAACAATGTACATCATAAAAAATGGTCTATAATGCTTTTTGGAATGTTATCACCTACTTGTTTGAAACTGTTGTTACTTGCATTTATTTGTATTCATTCTATTGTTATATAGCATTTTTGCTGGCAAAAAAAAAAAACACCCAAGAGTTTTGCACGCTACTGTACACACATCTTAGTATATAGATATTTTCTAATGTTATATATATTTATATTTTTAGAGCCAATTTATGGATTTATTTTTCTGAAGAGCATTTTTTGACAACCTTATCATTTATTTTTCTGTGTTTTTCCTCTCTTCGTAATATCTTGAAAAGTTGGCATCATTTGACAAAGCAGCATAATTAGTCTGGCACTAAACTGAAGACATACTTTTCAATACACTTTCTGTGTGCAGAGATTCATAAAGTGATTAAATAGAAAAGATGTTATGTATTGGGAGGAATGGGTAGCGGTTTCCTGTGGCACTAAATAATAAACGGACTGGACTTTTCCTGACCAATTTTGTTGGTAAATTAAGGCTATGTATTTGGTATGTTGGATCATTTTCTCAGGAATTCATCTTTTTCTCTTTGTTGGGGGCTGGTGCATTAACAGTCCATGTGACACTCTCAGAAATATCATACTTAAAAGAAAAAAAGAGGTATCCAAGGAGCCAAAGGGTTTTTTGTCATGATAAAATATTTTCTAAAAAATTAAGAAAGGAAAATACAGGGTTTAGCTGTGTAGTGGATGTTAGTATTTCTAGATATAGTTATTGCAACCAGGATGGATGGTATCCACATATATGTATCAACTAAACTCAACACACACATACACTGGGAATAATTATTTGACAGTCTAAAAACTGTTGCAGTCGGGCCCCTTTGGGCCACGATTACAACTTCTTGCTCTATTTAATTTGCATCAGTTACATTACAAATTTATTTGCACATTTTATCATTACAGCAAGTCAACATATATTTATTTACTCTTTGCAAATAGTCATGAATATTTCTCCATATGGCAGGAATTGAGGTTTATCCCAGAAAATAAAGAGACAAATGCATAACACATCTGACACAATAACAACTGGCTTAGTGTGAATTTCGCTAAGGCAGAAAAGTCAGGTCTCCATCTTTTCCCAAGACATCTGGAAGATTCATCTCGGCAGTTTGGATCTGTTCGAGTCACCTTCTTTCAAAGCCTGTAATCGTAGCAGCTTTCACAGAAAGCAAAAAAACGGCTCCATGTCTTATCCACGGGTCAAGCGGAAAAGGAGCGAAGACGGCATAAAACTGGACTGAGAGTTTGTTTCAGCATCTGATTTTGACCTCTCACAGGCCTCGTTACGCAGGACGCCACCTGAAGCTGTTCCTCACGTTTCCCATCTCCACAGGTAAGACGACACGGTAATGACGAAGAGTGCCGAGTCAAACGATGCTGACTGTTCCTGCCAACAGACCGAAAGAGGTCGTGGGTCAGATTTTAATGTCCTGTGATTCTACCATTTTGGCTAATGTTTTCTTGACTCGTAGGATGGTGAGACGGGACGCAGGATTGTGCGCCCAGCACTCTGACATCAGCTTCAGCATGGCCCTCAAGCACTGAGGAAACAGGATCAGTTTGAAATTATTTATAATTGCCTCACATTATTTGTAAAATTTCTCAACAAAAATAAACTTCAATATGGTAAACATCCTAAACAAACACTGATCTAACTTTTACAACGGAAATAATTAAATAGATTAGAAAATAAAAAGAGATTCTACATAAGAGAACATGCAAAGCTGCAGAAGAATTGAGCCTTTCCACACTCACCTCATCGCTATTCCATCTGTTAGATACAGTTGGCCGCAGGCCTTTGATACACACTACCTGCAGCATGTCTTCGTATGAAGGGTCTGGAGGGACCATCTCATAGTATGGCAGCTGGTAGTCCTCAACTATACCTGAAAACAGTAACAGTGCAGTAAGTACCAGTGTGTTCTCCTTTTACACGCATTTATCTATCTAGGTCAATATTTCAGCACTACTAAATCAGGGAAATCTCTGGTTTTAGCCAGTTTAACCCAGCGAGTTAACTACTGCTGTTCTGTTATTATATAAAGAGAATACTTCAGTTTTTTTAGCATGTTTTAATCACTACCTCCTGTGACGCAGCGTCTGGCCATCTCCCATATGACCAGCCCATAGCTGTAAATATCAGCCATAATGTAGGCCTGGAAGTGGTTCTTATTCAGGGTCTCATCTAGAACCTCTGGAGCCATGTAGCGGCGGGTTCCCATTCGAGTGCTCAGAGGAATGTCCACTTCATTAGTATCACTAAGGGAGAGTAGAAGGACAAATCAGTCGTGGCAAGAAGACAGAAAAAGATAGCACAGTAATTACATGTCTGGCAGGATCAAGCTGAGTTGAGCAAGCTTTTAGTTTCATATTTCTCAATGTTTCCCATTTCATTACCAGGTAAGACGAACACACACTGATCGCAAGTACAGATAAATAAATAAATAAATAAATAAATAAATGAATAAATAAATTCTGATAAGCTGCTTCAACCTGTGGTCAGACCAAACGTGAATAAAATTTGCTTGAAAAATGAATTAGGTTTCAGTGGCGGTTAATTTCACTTTTGCGCCAAGTTCATCCCTTTAAATTCACCAAGCGACACCAAACGATGGCCTGATCTCCTTCTTCTTAAAGTGAAAATGCTAAAGTCAACATAACACTGCTTGCTGCCCACAACTGTGAAAAAAGAAACTACTAGCTAAAGTTGGCTGCTCACTGGATTATATATTCCCTCCAAAATCAGACCAAGACCACCCATAATTGTAAATGTCTGATGTTTTCTTTCTGTTAAGTTAAATAAGTTAAATATTTGGGCTTCAAGAAATATAAGGCCTGGAAATGTAGGCAGTGATGGTGATAACAAAAGCTTATAATACATTTTTTTCCTTTCCTACATTTCCCTTTTTTACTTTTTTTTTTTAAACAACGAAAATGCAAAATAGCAGACTTGATCTATGCAATTTCATTTAAATATTTTGTAATAAAAACTGAATAAATGGGCAACAGTTTTATTCAAAAGAAAAAGCAACTTAAGAACCTGTTGAATTTGACTGCCAGTCCCAAATCGGCAATACAGCAGGTGCCGTTTTTCTTGATGAGGATGTTCTTGCTCTTCAGGTCTCTGTGAGCGATGGCTGGTTTGCCTTGTGTGCCATAGATCTCAGTGTGGAGGTGACAAAGGCCGCAGGCTGCAGAGTAGGCCAGTTTCAACAGAGCCTGTGTGTCGAGGGTGGTAAACTTCAGGTAGTCGTATAGAGAGCCATTCTCATGGTAGTCTGTGATCAGGTACAGCTGGGTGGAGGCTCCTGTACCATTTATATCTGCCGCTATGAAACCTGTTGAAGCAGCATTGAGAAATCAGAACAGGCACAGAAGGCTGGAAATGTTTCAGTAGAACCAACAACAATGTCAGCAACAGTTAAAAAAAAGATTTAGTTATGATCTAAAACCCCTATATATATATATATATATATATATATACATATATATATACATACACACACACACACACACACACACACACACACACACACACACTCTTTAAAGATTACATATTTTGTGGACTGCTGGACTGTCAACAGTCTCACCTGATCCTAAGCACACGTACCCAGTATGTTTTCATGTCTCATAAGTACAGTCTGGTAGATTTCAGTCTCTCTGAACCAGCTGGCCTCTTCACGAGTGAAGAACACTTTCACTGCCACTTTCTCCCCCCTCCAGCGACCCAGCCACACCTCACCATACCGGCCTTTCCCTATCAGACGCACTATCTGGATCTGCTTTGCAATAGTGCGCTGCACCTAAAATGGAGACAGACACCACACAGGATTAAGAACATCATCACACAGGACACCAGCTCTACTGATTTATAATGGCAGAGTGCATTTGAAGCTGCTCACCAGCAGGGGGAGCCCAGAACCACTGCCTGAGGTCTGTGACTGGTTGATGAGGTCTTTCAGAGATTCTCCAGCTGGAATGAGGTCTTCATTCTGCTCCAGGTCTCTGTGGTAGTGCTGCCTCTCTGTCTGCCATTTATACCTGAGCAAGATATACAGAACTCAGTGATATACATGATCTACATTACTGACCATAGTCTCACCAATTAACCACAAACTAGGTCTTTCATCAAAAGTGCAACACAACATTTGCTATTACTCAGGCACAAAAAGCATAACATCTTGCTTGAAGCAGTACCGTGATGGGGGCATCCTCCATCTTCAAAAGTGTTATTCAAATACATAACGTTTTTTTTATTTCTATGCTTACCTTCTGATTTGAAAAATGAGTAGTTCAAATTAACGAACTGATTAATTCAAAATTCAGATCTAATTAATTTGATCTGTTCATGTCTAAAATAGGCTTTAGCAGTTTGCTAAAAAAAAAAAAAATGCATTGTATTGCAACATATTTCAGCTTTTTGGTAAGAAGAACCATGAGTTGGACTAAAACTTTATAAAATGCAACAGAAAATACAAACTTGGATGCAAAAAAAAAAATTATGTCATGAGAGATTTGCTGAGTTGGTGGAAAGATTTCCAGCTTGCTTGCTAAGCTCGCCCAAAGTGTGTTAAACATTCTTGAAAGCAGCAGCAGCAGCGAGTAGAGGAACTTTTCAGCACTATATAAGAGGAGGGTGGACGGTGTTGTCTGCCTGCAACGACTGAAAATTCCATAAAATGTACTGATAATAAATATTGTAAGTATATTACAGATGATCAAAATACTAGTTTATCCCAGCAACTAAAGTGCTTATTAATAAAGCAAAGCACTGCAAAATCCTATTTGCGATAATCTGATAGTACGTTGAAGCTTCATGTTCAAAAGTTCTGTTCCAACTTAAATGGCTCTGCCACAATGAGAACTTGTTGTTTACATGTTGCATTATTGAGTTTATTAAGTTTCACGCTATCAGGCTTAACATGCACAAGACTACTACAACTCAACGGTATGCATTAAAAGTGCACTAACATCACCAATGTGTTCACAATGTTGCTTAATTTTGTATAAAAAAAAAACGTTCATAAATATTCAATACCCTGTCCAACCCTAAAATCTTCACGATTTAAATTTACATGACAATGATGCTACAATGCAGACAATGGCTGTTAATTTCAGAATCTCACAGATGAACACCTGTAAAACGACCTCTCTGACCTCAGGAGTGCGTACCAGGTGACTGGCTTACCTGTAATAACAGATCACAGTGACGCAGACGAGAGTACAGCAACACACAGTGACTGAGATGAGGAATGCCAGCCAGTGTGGGCTAAAGAATGTCTCTTCAAAACAAAAGCAAACAGAGACAAATTTTCAGTAATATTAACTTACAACAAAGCCTCTGACACACTTTGGCATAAGTTTGTCATCACAAACAAAAAGAGCACATACACAAAATTTTGTCAGATAAGGTGACAAAGCCATACAACTGAGTGCTTCTGTGAATTCTCCTGGCAACAAATGCAGTGTAGAAAAATGGAGCAGTGGATGTGCATTATAGTTCACTTGTCTGCAGGTGTTCTTCCCATGCCAAGCCCTGAGGGCTCACCTGTGCTATTGTCAAGATCATGTGATGGGGTGGAATCTCACCTGGGTTTCGAGGAGGCAACTCAGGCTTCAGATCTCGATTACAGAAGTCAGACTGGCAGCATTCGATGGTTCGTCTTGTCTGTGCATACTGTGAATCCTGGGCAATTAAGTTGATTTGCTGTTAAATACTATTCTATATATCTGTTTGAATATGACAGCTTTATGAGTGATTCCCCATCAATAAACAAAGCCACCCGTTTTACCTTGCACTGAAAATGTGAGCCTTCATACTTCATGCAGCCAGAGCTTAAGAAAACATCACCATTTTCATCTTCTTCAATAATGGCAAAACACTGGCCATTTGTCCTGCAACATTAATGGATTATTAGATGACGGAAAAGATTTACATCTTTCAAAAGTGAATGTTTGGTTACATGATTGAATGTTTGTTTCTTTCAGACACACACACACACACACACACACACAGCTCTGAGGTGGTCACTCACAGGCACGTGTTGTTCTTGGCATCCTCCGGGCAGTGGCCAGAGCAGTAGCAGCTAAGGAAGCGTGCAGCGTCCTCAGGCTCCACAGTTGTATCAGCCCCTGGCCTTCTGGAGTCAGGGCCATGCTTCACGCCCGTTCCCTGCAGCACGTGATCTGGATTCTGTCCAGCTCCTGGAACAAGAGAGGAGAAAACACTTTACACTGACCACAGAAACAGCAGTAATTCTTACCTGTAATAACAGATCACAGTGACGCAGACGAGAGTGCAACACAGAGCACTGAAAAAGCATGTGTAATTAAAGGCAATCAAAAGGTTTTTATACAACAGTCTGTTCAAACAGCACAATCTGAGGTTTTCTAGTTGTGCTGTTTTTTGTGATAACAGCACAGTCTTCTCACAACTTGATCATTCTGCTGAGCACCAGCTGCTAAGTAACAACTGCTTTGCAGCTAATCGTTAGTATATATTGTACTTTACCACAAACAAAAACAGAAAATGCTGGATATTTGATTTTCTCTCCTTGAAAAACAAATAAAAATGTTCCAAAATTTTCCAACCTATATTTCTCAGTAGTCTGAAGACAGAGAACAAACTACAACCAAATATATTTAAAATATGTTGATTGTTAAATGGCTCAGAAATACAGATCACCCATGCATTTGTCAGCATGGAAGTGTCTGAAAAAAGGTACATAACATTCCAAGTTTTATTGCCCAAGGTATTTAGCTAAAAATCACATCAAATAACCTGTCATAAAGACAGCAGCTTCAAATACATGATAAATATGTTATGCACTGTTTAGACAATCCCTAAAGCATCAATGATCTGCATTTCCAAAAAATTATGTTCAGCAAGTTTAATGACTGACAATTTTTAGAGCTATCTGGTTGTAGTTTGTTCTACGTTTTTAATTAGTGCGGAGATGTAGGTTTGATCCTTTTTGGACGTTTATTACGTGAGAAACTGAGAAAAGAGGTCCTGTAAAGCACCAAAAAGAGTTCTTCTATTGTTAGAGGCTCGACATCATAACAATACTAGAACCTAGAGCTAGGCGATATGGCCAAAAATGTTATCATGATAAACAAAATTCATATTGTTCGATATCGATACATATCACAATGAATGTCAAATCATTTTTTCTTTCAAGTTTGAAGGCTGATTTTTGCTCCTGGGTGGTTAATTGCTGTTTTAAACTATCCTTTATGGTCGGAACACGACAAACACTCGCCAAACAGTGGAACATTTCACAAATCTGTCATGGGATAGTGGGAGAGAGTATCTGGTGAGCTGTTTTTACCAGCTGGAAAAGCATGGCTATTTTGTAATAGTCATAATTTAAGAAAGAATAGATTATTTTTAGCTGTCTGGTGACGAGTGCTAGACTATCTGGTTACAAATCCTAAACAAGTGGCCAACAACAGTGCTAAACTGTTCAGTTTCTCAACAACGTCAGTTTAGTATGAACAGCAAACATTAGCTAGCTCGGTATGTCAGTGATGGATCACACCGCCTTAGTGCGACTGGATTTCTCTATTCTATTGTAGTAGTTTGAGGGGATGAACCACAATATATCTAACACCAGACAGAGTCCTCCTTTTCGGTATGTTTAAACTGAAATCTCTGCTTTTGTGTCTTGTTTGATCTATAGTATCATCAATTCGCCGTATTGTGGAGTGACGGAGCGCTGCTTCAAGTTAGCCAGCTGCTAAAAACAGCTAGCCTGGAAAGCTAGCGCTCTCTCGCTCTCCAATGCCTCACAGCTTCCTCAGTTTACTTTTGTTTAAATCAGGAACCCATTTCTTTCACTTTCGTTGGTTGGGAATGCACTAATACTAAAATATGACTGTTTGACGCTGTAACAGCGCTTTAGTTATGAGGAGCAGACGTGCTTTAACACTGCTAAAGCTTGTTAGGATGTACAGAAAGAGGTGAGTTCACTGTAGGACTCACTTATCTTGTCACTCACACAGGAGCACAGATCGCCGGTCGCTCCACTCAAACAGGGAATGTATAACTCCACGTTTCAGACGTTGCTAAAGTATATTTGGCAACCCTTTTTTTAACTTGTGGCCCCCTCCCTCGCTAATCATGTCGAAAAACTCTGAAGTGCACCCTCTCCTGGCGACAGCAGAGTAGTGTCTCTTTCCTTGCAGTAGAAAACGAAACCAGACCTTTCGCTAGAACGAGGAAGTGTGAGAATGGTGTATTATATTGAAAATTTATCGAACATGTCTTATCGCTCTAACGAGGAATAGTTCTATTGTGATAATTATCGTTATTGTTTTATTGCCCAGCCCTAGCAGAACCCTTTTAAAACCCTTCTCAAAAAAGTTTTAGAACCATAGAACCATCTACAGCACATTCTAAGGAACCCTTTAACAACCCAAAGAACCCTTTAAATCACGCAAAGGGTTCTTTGAGTGTTCATGGTCCTATATAGAACCATTTTCTTTGCTAAAGAACCCTTGAAGAACCACCATTTTTAAGACTGTAGGTGAATACCTGCTACTGTATACTATATTTTTCCATGTCATAATGGGGCAGGTCATTGAGGATTTAACGATATTGCGAATTACAAACATGTTTAGCTTGATTTGATATAGTCAAATCTTGATCTTTGGGACATAAAATCCTTAACAGACTATAAACGCTGCATAGTGGCCTGTAGTTAAATAACTACTCCATAAGGGGCTGAGGTGGTAATTAGACTACAATGCAAAGCTCCAAAGGATATGACATCATCTTTTAATCACATCCATCTCTACACCAGTGACTGTCACGTTTTATTGAACCCCTGTTCATTTTCTCTTCCCCTCTGCACTTCTTTGCTCGTATTTTAAGGTGGCAATTCTTCAGCCAGATGCAACAAAGACGTGTGTGTGTGTGTTTGTGGCTGCTGCAAGTACTTCCTCTGAAGCATGACTTTATGCTAGTCATTCTAGTCCAGACTTGTTCATAAGACAGCTAATCACTCCCCAAGCCGCTGTGTGAGGAACTCAGAGGCTCAGCAACATGGCACTCTGGTTATCAGCTGAATTCCACTCTGAGATCTCATTACCAGCTTGTCTTCTCTTATTCTGCCTTGCCCATCCATGTGCTGCTGCTGTTGATCTGGAATTCTGTCTGGATTCTACTCTTAGGGCTAATTCTATTAGGGCTCAGTAATGAAATTGCGACCGGGGGAGATAAAGGAGCCTCTGTTGCACTTCGGCTCACTTTATAATTCACTTTATACTGTGCACACACAAAGAATGCAGAGTTCTATAGCAGTTCAACAGACTGCACTTTGGCTTTGCATGCCACCATGCACAATACACTTCAATAATCACAATTCTACTTGTTCAACCATGCGAACAGAACATAGTTATGAAGCAAGTGTTGTTTGTGAATTGGGAATCTAAGTGGGAGTCCTAAAAATTACCATTAAAGTAGTAATGTTTTTTTAAGCTGTCTTTATAAAATAAGCTGTAGAGAGACCATATAGTCCTACCCAATTACATTACCGCCTGGTTTTAGTGCACAGTGGGACACAATTTAGCAAAGCTACTGTAGACAGACCTGTCTGTGTTACACACAGAATCAGATCGAATGTTTTCATACTGTGTGAGCATATAAATCACAGGTTGAAAATCTGAAATGCAAAAAAGATTGATGGAAAAGGATTTTCCAACTAAATGTTGACTTATCAAGCTGGTGACTGGAAATGTCTGATCCTATGGATAGTCCAATCATGGCTAATCTAAAGCCTGTTTGAAAACAGCTCTGCATAATGTACTCCCGGAATTGTCTGGTGCGTTTGTGTTCCCGGACGCAGGGTGGACGTCACTGGGATGGGACAGAGACTTCAGCCCTTATTAGCTGCCCGATGTCTCGAGGCTGCAATAGGTGTAAGGATAATTCTACCTAAAGCAAAAAATAAAGTTCAATCCTTTTACCCTGCTCATTTCGATGCAGCCCCTAATCACGGTAGTTTACGTCATCTAAAATTTCTTTGCATAACTGTAGTGGATGGAAACACAACTTAATTTGATTTTTTTCTGCCAAAATTTTGCATACGTGCACAACATTTGCAAAACATCTGAATGGAAACTGAGCTTTCTGTCTGGCTTTAGAGGACACTCAACTTACAGCTTAACCAGCAATCAAAAGACATAAAACTCCATACATAGGCTACTCATTATGGTATCAGTACCAGCAAGAACTTAGAAGCATGTACTCGTACTCGGTCTGAAAAAAACAAACAAAAAAACTGATGCTATGGTCTGAGGATGTCCTAGAAAAAAAAACACAGTACAACAGATGACTGGCTATTTTGTGAACATTATATCTGCCTGCAACAAAGACGCTTAAGCAGCAGAGCTCAACAGCTGCATTCTACAAAATTTCTAGGCACAATAAACATGGTGCTAATGTAAGATATAACATCTCCCTACATGTACACCCTACAAATTTAATTATGTTTATGTATGGGGATCTTACTGTCCTGCTATGGTGTAAATAAAATAAAATCAGTTTTTTTTTACTTTAGTTGCTTGAAACCTACATGAAACTAAATTAAACAAGTTGCATAATTTCACCTGAAACTTAGTCGCAACAGTTGCAAGAGTCTCAACTTTGTGAAACAGTTTTCATGAAACAGCCAATCAAAACGTCGATAACACATCCCGACTGACTCAACATCAGTAGTTTTATATGAAGATGACAAAAATGATCCAAAAAATGTGAACTGCACCTTGCGGATGACTTTATAGAGAAAACGATACAGTGTGTCAAGATATCTGAGCTAGTGGAGTAACTAAATGTGTTGCATGCAACTTTGCTTTTGAATTGCTTTACATAAATGTCAAGTTGGAAGGAAATTATGTTGCAGGCAACTCAGGAAGTTTCATTGTGTAAAGCCAGTGTAACTTGTCAATGGGCACAGGCCTAAAAAAACTAAACGAAACAAAATACATTACATCATCAGAGCTTTGTGATAAACTATTACGATAAAGTAGTATTATATAATAAACTGTGTGATTAACTATGTGATAGGAGAAGAAAAACACCAGACGAGGTTTATTTAAGTTTTTTTTTTTACTTTTTTGATTTTAACTGTACATTATTTGTTTTTTTTTTAACTTATAACTAATAAAAACCCCCACACCATTTGGTATTTTGATCAGTTAAT